GAGAGAGAGAGAGAGAGAGAGAGAGAGAGAGAGAGAGAGAGAGAGAGATGAAAAGAATAAAGGACGGGACAATGGAACAGAGATAGACCGAAAAGTAGGAAGACTCAGAAAAGAAGGTATAGGCAGAGAAAATAAGAGAGAGGCTCGCAAAGACAAAACAAACAAACAAACAAACAAACAAACAAAACAAACAAACAAACAAATGAAAAGGAGACAGATATAGAAAGACATAAGACTTCAACGACGCATACAAATGTTTTTCATGTCTTGCTGATATAATTTTAGACTTGAAGAAAAGCAAACTGTCACATGAAGATAATTCTGCTGTCCTTATCCCTCGGAATCCATCCAAATTCGTTGAAAAGCAGCCAAATTTAGAACTCCCGTATCGTGCAGGAACTCTGTTTGTCCTTTTCAATGTCCAATCTCCTGGTTAGATCTTCGTATTTCCAACAGGAAATGATCTGATAAGCAAGGGAACGAGAGATAAACGGATTTAGAAGGTTCTTTACGATTGATTAAATACGAATTCTTCTCTGGCTATTTTTATAAGGTAGACGTTCTCGTTTCCCCTTGATAAAACAAATTCACAAACTCCTAGTTCCGAAACAGGTGCTACCTCAGAATTACAAATTTCTTTCTATCTGATCAGAATCCAGTTTTGAGAGAATTTGCCGTAAAAGATTTTGAGTCTTACAACAGGGCAAGCTTTTTCGAATGCAGTTCTTTGAATATCTTGATAACGACTCCAAATAATCTTACGATTTTGATAGAGCAGATAGATGAACATTAAATTAAAATTTTATTTCTCACCTCATGATCTTAGTAACTCAAAACGGCTGAAAATTGTCAGACAAAACGTTGTAATTCTAAGGTAGGGAGGTGCTCTACTTTCACATCACAGACACTTTAACTCTTTAAGGACCTAACGAGCACGTGTGTGTATGTGTGTGTATGTGTGTGTATGTGTGTGTATGTGTGTGTATGTGTGTGTATGTGTGTGTATGTGTGTGTATGTGTGTGAGCGCGAGTGCGTGTGTATGTGTGTGCGCGCGATGACCAGAAGACTAAAGGCAAAGTTGAGGCATATATATCAAACAATGAAACATAAATCAAAAAGACGAATTCGCTACCTCGGATACATAAAGTTCTATCTGACATTTTTGGGTCGTTTTGAGTTACTAAGACCATGAGCTCAGAAATAAAACATTACATCTGCTCTATCAAAATCCAAAGATTATTCTGAGAGGTTTAACGAACTGCATTAAAAAAAAGCTTGAGATATCAAGAAACTCAAATTATTTTTACGTCAAATTTATTTCTCAAAACTAGGTACTGAGCAGATTAAACTTTGTGATACTAAGATAACGAATTAGTATATTTCATGGTAGGCACGTTGTTGTCTCACGTTTTGGGTTTCCGATTGAAAAAAAAGAACAGAAAATAAAATCTGTGAGAATAATTAAATTATGCTCTTTTTCAAAGTCATAACAAAACAACAGATGCGCTGTATGCTTCCCGGGAAGCTGAGAATGTTTCGGAGTGTTCTATGGTCTGCTGGGGTAATAATATAATGTAAAGCGCATAGAGCCTGCTGTTGAGCGGGGATATGCGCTATACAAATGCTATCTATTATCTATTATTCTATTATTTATTGTAGGGTCAATGAAGCTATAAAAGTTATTATATAATTAAACTCTAATGGCCAGTGACGATTTTAAAAACATGTTAACAACAAACAATTAAAGACAAAGTAGTTTCCAAAAAAACCAAAACCTATAAAAAAAATACTGCCCGTATTTTTTTGAAAGACAAAAAAAGGGAAGACAAAAGTGGATGGCCTTTTCCCCCTCTCAACTGTGGGCAGTACTGATAAAAAACCCCTGTCAATTCCAATGATAAATTGTCAATAAGTGTCATACAACGAATCCTTTCATTCCATTTATGTGTTCCAGCGGTCATTTGAGCACGAGTCATTCGGTCTGGACAATGGATCATTAACATAGTAATATATACAGTGTATTCAGAAACCAACAGTCTGAGTCTCGTAACACACCGACTCCCCCCCCCCAATTTTTTTTTTCAAAAATAATAAATTAAATAACAAAATCCCTTCCCTCACATTTATTACCGACGTACATACAAACATATACACCAAGACTGCCCGTTTTTCTTTTTCGTTATCCCTTCTCACCTCTCCCGAATTAGAATAATTTTTGAGTAATATGTACAATTTAGAAACAGAGAACGGCCTCAAGATAGCCCTTCTTTTACACTTTCGTACAACTTTGCTTGAAATACTAAAAGTGGTAGACATCGGAGGAGACGGTATAAGATAAGATATATCTTTATTGTCCAGATCCTGGCACATTGGTTTGGTGTTTCACCACGAACACACACACACACACACACACACACACACACACACACACAAACCTGCACACACACGCATAAGCACACACATGTGCACATCCGTATACACCCGTATGATATTGGCATAGAAACTAATTTGCCTATTGAATCTGTTATGAGAATCGGTAACAGTAAAACTGAATGCTCCATTCGGAACTTAGTTGACCTAATGCGCATATCAGAAGGTCTCCACTCTTAGCACGGTCAATTATGATCTCCGTGATGCCATGTGAGAAAGATGCCTTTGACTCATTTAAAGATTGGAATGTCGAAATTTACTTTCACCATCTACAGTCTATCAAAATTTCTGTATGACTTTCTTCGCATTACATTGCTTTTGAATATTTGCCCTAAAAATCGACCGAGATAACAGTCACGTTAAAAGAAAAACGTAACCCCC